TCCGGGAGGATCCCGCGTGCCGCGGAGCGGCTGGGCCCGTGAGCCAGCGCCGCTGAACCAGCGCATCTGGAGCCTGGCCCCCACACCGGGGAAGGCACAAAAAGTGAAAGCCCCGGTAACCCCAAAAAAAAAAAAAAAAAAAAAAAAAGGAAGAAGTTGCATGGCCTCCTAGCCTGAGGAGTCACATAGCTTCCCTTCCATGATACTATTGGTTCAATCATTTCCTTTCTACCACACTCGCTATTGGTTAATGCAGTTACAAGTCTGCTCAGATTCAAGAGGAGGGGACATAGATCCCCACCTCTCTGTAGAAGGAATGTTAAAGAATTTATGGCAACGTTTTAAAACCACTGCATAGTGACATACATTCATTCTTCAGCTGATTCATAGAATTTCAACATGTTAAACACTTGAGATTTTAAAACTCTAGTTATGGGCTTCCCTGGTGGTGCAGTGTTTAAGAATCTGCCTGCCAATGCAGGGGACACAGGTTTGAGCCCTGGTTCAGGAAGATCCCACATGCCGTGGAGCAACTAAGCTCGTGTGCCACAACTACTGAGCCTGCGCTCTAGAGCCCTCGAGCCATAACTACTGAGTCCACACACCACAACTACTGAAGCCCACGCACCTAGAGCCCATGCTCCGCAACAAGAGAAGCCACCGCAATAAGAAGCCTGTGCACCGCAACAAAGACCCAACACAGCCAAAAATAAAATAAATAAATTTTAAAAACTAATAAAACTTTAGTTATAGCTAGAGTGTTTGTCTTTACTGGAATGTGAATATTCAAATTTAGCAATTTGAATGATGTCTAAAATATGATGGCAGCTCGGGCAATCAATCACACAAATATTGATCATGCCCAAGTTCAGGGATATCAGAGAGGAAAGTGAAATGGATACCTGGCTATTTGGTCTTGCAAAGGCCAATTCCAAAATGGAATCCAGACAACAGATTTTGGTTGAACACCCAGGCCCACTGCATTTTTCATATGTGATCTCCCCCAATCTTCAAAATTTCCAGATCAGGAAAGTTTTTATTGGTACTCCTATTGTGAAGAAGAGGAAGGAGCTCAGAGAGCTCAAATTTCTCGTTTAAGATCGCACAGTTAGGAAGCCACATTGATAGATGTATCAGTGAGGGCCTGACAGGAAACATGGCAACTCATCCTGAGTCACTGAGGACTGTTTCATTAACTATTAACAAAGGTGTTACCTGTAGGCAGTGAGTTGAGGAAACCAGCAAGGAAAGGTGAGGCACTATCCCCAGGCTTGAAGGGGGTGGAAAATCGAGAAGTTTCTAGAAACTTCTGGAAATTTCTGGAACAAGGAACTGTAGCTAACCTAGAAGGCTCTCAACAAGAGCTGTGGCTTTTATTAGGGGAACTCAGGGGGACTGAAGCTGCTGTTTCCTCGCGCCCTCTGCTTTCTGTTGTCTCCTAGGAGTCTTGTTGGCTCAACCCAACAGGAAGGCTGAGGGTAAGAAGGGTAGTTGGTGCGGCCACAGAAGTCAGCACCCCCCACCCCCGTCCCGGAGGCCCATGTTGAGTAGAGAAAGGTGGAAAGACCGGGTCCGGGAGGGCAATCAGAGAACATGCAGACCTCGGGCTCGGTGAATAGGTGAACAGTCGCACTCCCACGCGATTCCCCAGGCCCAGTTGCACAGCCCACGCGCTAGCTTGCAACCACCGGTTGCCATGGAGACCGCGGGTACTACGCGGGAGCAAGTGCGCAAGCGCGCCCTGGGACGCCGGCCTCTGCTCAGCGCAGCTGCCTGGACCCAGGCGAGACGCCACCTGACGCGCCCTGTCCGAGCGGGGGCGGACGCTGTCGTCTCGGGCACTTGGCCCAGAGCATCCGTGCCGGCGTGGCCCGAGCTGGCACCTGGCAAGCCGGCTGCATCCCGGCGGCCTCTCCTTGGCCCGTCTGGGCGGTCAGAGGCGGGGCTGCCGCTTCCCTGACGGGCTGGCCGAGAGCCAGGCCCCGGGGAGGCCGCTCGCGGTTTTCGGCGATTCCAGGACACGTGTGAGCATCCGGGGCCCGGTTTGGGGAGGAAGACCTTGGGAAAGCGCGAGGCCTCCTGCAGGCCAGCCTTGGAGGGGGCAGCTGAGAGCTCTGGGCCTGGCCTTGTTCCCGGGAATTTGACCTCCCTCTCCTGTCACCTTACAGGATTGCTGTTTAGGGACCACTGCAGCCCCGGTCCACGTCGTAGACTCTTCAGCACACGTGGGAATCGAGCTGCCAGGTGTCCACGACCATGGCGGTGAACCTTTTGGAGGACTGGTGCCGGGGGATGGAAGTGGACATCCACAGGTGCCTGTTGGTCACAGGCATCCCGGAGGACTGTGGCCAAGTGGAAATTGAGGAGACCTTGAATGGGGTCCTCTCCCCGCTGGGCCCATACTTTGTGCTCAACAAGATTTTTTTGAGGGAAGAGAATGCCAAAGCTGCCCTCGTTGAGGTAGGCGAGGGTGTGAATCTGAGGGCCGTACCCCGGGAATTCCCAGGAAGGGGGGGCATCTGGAGAGTGGTCAGTAGGGACCCCACCCAGGATGCTGAGTTTTTAAAAAACCTGAGTGAATTCCTGGCTGCAGAGGGGCGCACCCGGGAGGATGTGGTCCGCCTGCTGCAGCTCAGCCAGTCCCCACCACCCCAGAACCGGAATCAGCCCCCAGACAACTGGGCAGAAGCTTTGGGGGTGCTTCTGGGGGCGGTGGTGCAAATCATCTTCTGCATGGATGGCGAGATCCGCAGCCGGGAGGAAGCTAGGGCTCAAGAGGTTGCTGAAGACCAAGCAGTGGCATCCTTGACTTTGGCAACAGCGAGGAAGGTCAAGAAGGAGCCAGGGTGGGCTGCAGAGGTGGGCTCTGCCTTGAAGGTGGAGAACCTGGACGGCTGGAATGACGTGGAAGATGAGGGTGACCCTCTTGAACCTCTGGTTCAAAAGGCTGGAGCTAAGACTTTCCCCAGGAGAAAGAAGCAGAAAAAAACTCCCAAGCAGGAACCAGTGCCCTGGAAGAAATCCAGAGGCAGCCATTCCCACAGCTCGGCCTTGTTGGAGGATCCGGAAGCTGATGACGCTGAAAATATGGAGATGTCAGAATACATCAGGAGCAGCAGAAAGCCCTGTGTGAAGCGGGAGGGGTCAGCTTTGAAGAAGGCCCTAGCGAAATGTGCCTGGAAGTCTCCCAGCAACCCGCCCCACGATGCCCAGGCAGAAGCTGCGAGCCCTCGAGTTGCCTCTGAGTCAGACCAAGACGGCGGTCCAGAGGGTCCACAAAAGAAGAATACCATGGTCTGGGCCGCGGCAAAGAGCCCTGCTCCCACGAGGAAGAAGAAGAAGGTGAGCTTGGGCCCCGTCTCTTATGTCCTTGTCGATTCGGAAAACACCAGGAAGAAGCCAGAGATTCCAAAGAAAGGGCAAGGCTCGAGAAGGGATGCGTTGGATCAGAAGGCCCTTCAGAGCCCACAGCCCGCTGAGCCACCAGCCTCAACCCCCCAGGGTCCAAAGGCCAAGCCACAAGGCTCTCCTCATGCCTCCAGTGGTGAGAATGACAGCAGAAGTCATTTGGGTTGTGTCAACAAGCGGCTGAAGGGGGAGGAACAGCACGGGCAGGTGGGGACGGAGGAACCCAAGGGGACAGAGGGTCCAATGGTCGTTGAGGAGGACCCCAGTGCAGTGGAGGGAGTGGGTAACACACCAGTTGAGGTTTTAGAGGCTGGGAGCCCTGACCCCCCTCCTAGGAGCCCCTGAGGCCAACATTGGGGATACCTGTGGGGACAGGAGGTGGCGGAGCAAACCCACTGACCTATCTTTTGTTGGTGAGTGTCTCCGTGGTATTCTCCGGTCATCTGACACTTCATCTGATCCATCTCCCTCAGTAAGAATTGAATCATTTGGGGTTATATATTGTTTGTCAGGGTAAGTGGCTTTCAGGGTGGAGTTTTCTGGAGGCCTGTTTGGGAGATGGAAATGTTCAAGGACTTAGAAGTTCCAAGGAAGTGAAAAAACTTTCCAGGGACACCTCTCCCTGCTTCCCCTCTCGAGCTGTTCTAATTTATCCACAGAACCCAGAAAACCTAGATTTCCGTCTGCACCCGAGCAGTCGAAAAAAGACCAAGGAAGAAGTTCCAAGCGGGGAACAACGTTTCTCTTGTCGTTGACTTTTCACTGTTTTAGGGACCCACCCAGTTCGTAGAGATCCAGCTCTCAGAGGTAAATGGTATGTGAGATTTAGGTGGGAGGAATTAGGGTAAGGAGGCGTACCCCTGTGCCTTTTCTCTGCCAGGCCTGCTTTTTCACCTCCTCCTAGACTCACCTTCAGAGGTTGGAGAGTCACTAAGCAGACTGGGAAGACTCTAAAACGTTCACCTTGGCACATGGGCAAGGTCACTGTTACGTTCATTCACGTTCGGCCTTTCTCCCCCATCCCCTGCTTCCTTTTCTGGATACTCAGCCACCCTCTGCAGGGCCTGGCATTGTAAAGGGCGGGGCGACCGCTCGCTCCCTCCTTCCCTTTCTCTGCTTCGACCACCGGGTAGGTTAAGCGAAGATCTTTGCTGCGGACCTGACTTCCTTGCTGCTACTGGTCTGCAATATCCGTCCTCCAGTTCTCTAACCAGAGGATGTTAAGGTCCAAGCATCCGTCTGGGGGGAAAAAGATTGTCCACTTAGGCCTTGAAGTGTTTGGTTTTCGGTCCTGTTAATAAAAATGGGACTTGGATTCCCATTTGGGGTGAAACCCTTTCAGGAAGCGTGTGGGAGCAATGGGTAGGAAAGGACTCTGGCCTTCCTGGCTCCCTGGCTCTAATTCCATCCAATACCCCCAAACTCTTTTTGAGGCTGAAGACCAAATCTCACATTCTGGGAAGAGAGAGAAAAACATTCTTTAAAACTTGGCTGTGAATTTCTGCTCTCTGACTAGACCAGAACGCCATGTGTCCTGGATGTGCAGGAGTCGGGGGAGGGGCGGGTTCCCTGAGCTCAGTGGTTTCCAGATTGTATCCCGGGGAAGCCCGAGCTGTGCTTAAAGAAGTAATCCGAATCTATTTTTTCATGTATTTAAAAAACAACAGCGACTGAAATATGACTACTTGAAGGTGTCGTAAGTCAAACAAGTCACATCAGAGACTATCAAAATAGGACCTTGTGTTCACCCGTTAGCTTGTTTTGGTACAGGTATCCAATTCGTTCATTCCACCACCTATTTGCCTATAATTGAATTTCTTGTAAATGTGACTGATAGGAAAAGTTCCAAGTGGGAGAAGTTGGTCCTGCGCATGGCCTGTGGTAGAACACTCCGAAAGAAGTTTCCCTTTGTAATTCACATCCTCTTGTCCTGCTGTGATGCTCAATTGTGTGATGGTTGATGTATCAATACGGCGCGCAGTAATTCATATTCTATCCGAGAGAGCTTTAGGGTCTCTCTTCTGGCTTCAGTTTTTGTGATGAAGAACGTGAACAGTTGTTAGATGTTGTTGGTGATTCAACTTGGAAAACAGATTTCTTGTTGACGATTCATTTCAAAAGCCTGGATGAGTCTGAGGATGCAGGAAGAAAGGAGGTGGTTTCCGTTTGTAGCTCTTCACCTGCGTGCGTCACGGTTTTCCTTGGGTCCGAGCAAAACAAAACAGAGGCGTGAATTGGCCTTTCGAGGTGACGAAAGCCTCCAGCTCTCCAGCTCCTAATTTCAGAATCAGGTCCATTAGGGCTTCGTTGTGTTAACAGATTGACACCATGATTAGTACATGTAAATGTATATGCTGTAAAATAAAGTTTAGCAAACTAAGTATCTGTTGAGTCTCTTATAGGCGCCAGTGGTATGGACTGTTTGAGAAAAGGGTTCCCCCCCCCCACGCTGAACAATACACACTGTCCTAGACACCCAGCCCAGCTGTTGCAGACCTGGGTTCAAGCTGGAAGGGTCGTCAATTTCCTGTGAGAGAAGAAGTCATCAAGATGTCTCTCATTGCTACATGGCCTGCCACCAACGTGAAAGCCTTCCCCAGACAGTCTGCGTTTTTTAGAAGTTTCTAGAACAGGTACCTGGTGTTGTGAATTAACCTGAGAAGGCGGGTTTATTTTTAAAAGCAGCTTCCCCTCAGACAGAAGCTGAGGTTTTTCAAGAAAAATTCGAGTTAAGTTTCCTCCTGACCAAGCCCCTCCCCTGCTTGGGACGCCTGAACCAGGGGGCCACCGCATCAGAGTGCACCCCTGATGCACAAGAGACCAAAGGGGAAGCTGGACTTTGAGGACGGGGGAGCTAATTAGGCACTGGAGTATGCACACATAAAAACCCAGGTCAGAGGTTAATTTACTGGGTCCTTTACTTCGCCCCTCTGTGGGAAACGCCACGTTTGGCCAAGATCTTTATGCACCTCCCATGACCAGCCACTCCCTCCAGTTTGCACCCAGTCTGTCGGGAAAGGCTGGAAGTGGGGGAACATGGCCGGAAGTGGGAGGAGATCCAGGGATGGGGCTCCGAGGGGTACAGAGGAAGTCAGCTGTCCAAGGAAACCCCTCAGACCGCTGCTTGGACGGGGCAGCATTCTGTTCAGGGGTGGGCCTCAGAGCAAGGCCTGGCCACAGGGGCCTCCAGGGCAAGGCGCACGGTGCTGAGGGGAGGGTTGCATGCCACCAGGAGGACCTGAAGGTAAAGTTTGCTCATCCATTCGTGCTTCTGTTTAGCCAGAATTTATCGAGCATCTACCATGGGACAGCCAGGAACAAGACAGAGCCCTACCCTCCGGGAGCTGACATTCCAGCAGGGAGGTGGACGATATGCATAGATATATGACGGCGGGTAAGGGTTGCTGAGTACCGTGACAAGGTGTAAAGCAGGAGAGGGTCGAGGTGAGTGTGTGTGCGAGAGAGAAGAGAGAATGGGCTGTTTTACACAGTGGTCAGGGAGCGCCTCTCTTAGGAGGTGACGTTTGAACAGACCTGAAGGAGGTGAAGGGTGAGACAGACCACCGGCTGGTGGGACAGCATCCCAAGCAGAGGGAACAATCGGTGTGAAAGGAAGCACGAGGGTGCCTGGTCTGAGAAAAAGGCCGGCGTGGCTGCAGTGGAGGGAAGCAAGGAAGAAGTGAGGAAGCGACTCAGGAAGGATGGACTTCGGCTTTCGTCTGAGCGAGTCAGGAGAGGGGAGGGTCGTGATCCAGCTACGATGTTCACAGGCTCCCTTCCCCGTTCCAATTCTCCATCCAGCTGTTACTCTGAGGAGGAGATTTCTCTGCTCGTGGTTGGACATACGGGCTGTAAAGTGTAATCCTTGATCTGAAGAAGTGATGCTCCGCCGTCCAAACCGGTCCAGTATCTTGTGGCTCTTTTATAGGACTCTGGGCACTTGCATCTTCCGCTGAGTGAGAAAAGCCTAGTCTGGAGTCAGTTTCCATTTCCATCAACCTCCGTTTGGAGCCCCGCCCCGGGCTAGCGGCGTCAGCCTCACGTGCTGGCTACCTAAGATCAGGCCTTCCCACCAGAGGGTTTTCCGCACAGCCATGTGCAGTCTCTGTCTCTCGTTGGCAGATCCAGCAGTTCTTACTGGCATTTTGTGCCTCAGAGGGTGCAAGAGGACTGTGTCTGGCTTCAGCCCCTCTCTGTATTGCTGCAGTGCCCCCATAGCCACTCATTCCGTGGCCCCAGGTGACCAACTCAAGGGACCACATGAGGATATCTGCTTGTGGATTCCAGTCACCTTCCAAACTGGGAGTTCTGAAAGGCACCGACATGTCCTACTTTAATGCACCTCCTAAATTCCCCTAGTGATTTCCACAGGGCTGTGCCCCATATGGGCATCCCTTTATTTATTTATTTATCTTTGTCTGTGTTGAGTCTCTGTTGCTGCGCGCGGGCTTTCTCCAGTTGCGTTGAGTGGGGGCTACTCTTTGTTGCGGTGCGCCGGCTTCCCATTGCGTTGGCTTCTCTTGTTGTGGAGCATGGGCTCTAGGTGTGTGGGCTTCAGTAGTTGTGGCAGGTGGACTCAGTAGTTGTGGCAGGTGGACTCAGTAGTTGTGGCTTGCGGGCTCCAGAGCGCAGGCTCAGCAGTTGTGGCGCACGGGCTTAGTTGCTCTGCGGCATGTGTGATCTTCCCAGACCAGGGCTTGAACCCGCGTCCCCTGCACTGGCAGGCGGATTCTCAACCACTGAGCCACCAGGGAAGCCCCTGGGCATCCCTTTAAAGGCCAGGTTTCCCATGGCCAGGCCATTGACCATCACTCATGAGTCAGTAAAAACCAAAGCGGATTTTACCACTTTAATTCTTCCACCACCGTTGGGGAAACATCATGCACTTCAGCCCACCGAGCTGATTTGTTTTTACGTCCTTCCACTCTCTTCTGGAGTTCCCTACTAGTAGAATGTAAACTACTAGATGTAAAAGACCAGTAGATAAGGGCTTCCCTGGTGGCGCAGTGGTTGAGAGTCCGCCTGCCGATGCAGGGGACACGGGTTCGTGCCCCAGTCCGGGAAGATCCCACATGCCGCGGAGCGGCTGGGCCCGTGGGCCATGGCCGCTGAGCCTGCGCGTCCGGAGCCTGTGCTCCGCAACGGGAGAGGCCACAACAATGAGAGGCCCGCGTACTGCAAAAAAAAACAAAAAAAAAAACCAGACCAGTAGATGCTGATGGAGGTCATCTTGCCACCATGTATCAGGAAGTGCAAAGGCCCTGAGGCAGGAGTATTTCTTGTGTCGGGGAGGCCAGTGCAGCTGGAACAGAGTGAGCAGGAGGGGAAATAGGAGGTGAGGTCAG